AAAGCTAAAAATGGAACTGCCTTTTGACCCAGCAATTCCACTGGGTCAAAAGTGAAGTCTTGTGAAGTAATCACAAGACTTCAGGAATCCCAAAACACCAATTCAAAATAGCAGTACAACTTACAATAGCCAAGTGCTGGAGGCAACCTAAGTGCCCATCAGTTAAATGAATGGATCAAAAAAGTGTGGTACATTTACACAATGAAATACTACACAGCAGAAAGAAAGAAAGAGCTTCTATGCTTCTACCCTTTGCGACAGCATGTATGGAACTGGAGAGCATTATGCTAAGCGAAATAAACCAGGGGATGACAGACAAATACCGTATGATCTCACCTATTAATCAACAAAATGGACAAGCAAGGAAAATACAACAAGTAACATTGAAAAAGAAGCCAAAAGTGGCATGAGGGAAGGAGGGAGGAGGGTAACGGGGAAGGGAAGTGGAAGGGTCAAATCAAGGAACATGTATAAAGGACCCATGGATAAAGCCAAAGTGGAGAAGGATTGAGAGAGGGAGGGAGGTGGGGGTCGGTGGAGCAGGGGAAAGTGGTGGGGGGAAAATGGAGACAAATGTATTTGAACAATAAAAAATATATATATAAAAAATAAATTTCCCTGTCATTTTCAAAAAAAAAGGAAGAAGAAAGAAAATCTGTGAACAGCAACATCAGACACAAAAGGGCCATTCCTTGGTTGTCCTTACCCAGGAAAAAAAATGGAGGCAAGTTAACACAAGATTTTTTTTTTTACATATACTAAAATGAAAATCTCTAAGAGAAAATGTCTGTCTTAGGACATTAGGAAGGGATAGTATACGGTATACAACAGAACCATATGTATGTTATTGGTGACCGCTGCGGACATTTGCCTGAATTCCCACCTGGGAATAAATGGAGTCATGGGGCTAAGGTCACTGGGAGATGTTTGTGGTTTTTGTGGTATATGTGGCAGTGTCTCTGGAGTTGGGGAATTTAAAAAAAGAGAAAGCAAATAGAACAGGATAAACAAAGAATGGAATGATCAAGATTAATGGAGGCTCTAACTGGATCCACTTTGCCATTGTTCCCTCCCCTCGAGGCCCTCAATAATCACAAGACTTCAGGAATACACCACACGGATATGATTAAATGATATGCCACAGAATTCATTTGTTAAATATCGTCCCTCCCCCCACTCTGTCTCCAGCATACTCCCTAGAGCAGCACAGGTAAGGAAGACCTAATTATTGGTAGGAACCCCTAACACTTTTCCAGGATAGAATTACAGCTAGTCCAAAAAGGGTCCTTCTTTTAAGGGTTTTGGGAAACTACACAACGCAATTTTATTAGTATCAGTGATGTCTGTTTGGAGCCAATTCAACTCCAGGAGCTGCAGGGTTAAATGCGGGAGGGGTTCCACCAATTGCCCCTAATCCTTCCATTGTAGCAGCTTGACCCAAGCGTTCAGTAGTTGGTGGGGTCAATCCCAAGGTTCTATCTGGTATCCTAGTGGCAGGTCCTGGTGGAGCTGGGGTACCAACAGGCACAGGAACAGGGGTCATGGCACCTCTGTTATTTATGCCCATAGCACCTCCCACAGTTGCCATCTGGCCCATCCGTCTCTTCTGCTCTCTCGCATCAGGGAAGTTTCCTTTGAATCCCTCCTGCTGTCGTGACATCTCTTCCTCATGGCACCTGTACTCCTCCTCCTGCCTGAGCTCCAGTTGCTTTTGTCTTTGCACTTCTTGGTCATGCAGTTCTTCCATGCTCCAAAGTTCTTCCCGATGCCTCATCAAATCCTGTCTCATTAGTACCAGATCTAGCACATGATCTGGTGCTCATGACAAGCAGCCTCCATCTCCATCTCCAGTTTCTTATGATGAGCTTCCTTGACCTTGTGGCCCATTTGGTCCTGCTGTTGTTTATCCATCTCAATGAGTGCCTTCCAGTGCATGGCATACTCATATTCAAAGGAGCCAGGCTATGAAAATCTAGGTGGCTGCTCCCACTCTTTGTGAAATTGCTGGTTCTTCAAAACCAGCTTCTCTGGAAGTCCCTCTTCATCATCTATATGGTCCATGGGCTCCACAGTCACAGGCCGAGGAAATGTAGTTTGCAGGAAGGAGACCTCACTGCATCTTTCCAGGGCTGTCCAAGCAGATGGTTTCCCTGAGAATTCAACAATACCTTTTCCTGAGGGGTTTCCTGGATCATCCACAATGACTATGGCCCTCTCCACCTGATTGAACACAGAAAAGGCTTCCTCCAGCAGTTCATTGGACACATACTGAGGAAGGTTTCTAACTGTAAGGGATGCACTAAGTCGGGCAAAGTGCACACACAGCTGCTTTCCACGGAATGGCATGTTGTCCAGCTCTACTTTAGCAATCCCCTATAGGGTTCTTGTTTCCAAGTGGATAAAGCCAAAGCCCTTATAAATGAAGAATTTGCCTGCCTTCCCATATTCCTCAAATAGTTTCCTCAATTCCTCCTCAGTGATGCCAGGAGAAAAATTGCCCACAAAGAGCTGGCTACATTGGGTGAAGGTCTTTTCCCCTGGTTTCCTAAAAATCTTCAGAACAATAGTCAGGCCTTCATTTTCACTGCTGGCTTGTTGCCTATTTGCAGGTATTGGTGGTGGCAGAGGCTGTTGCTGCTGTTGCTGCTGCTGTTGCTGCTGCTGTTGTTGCTGCTGGTTGTGCTGCTGGTGGTGATGTTAATGATGCTTCCTTGGAGCATGGTTTTGCTTCTCCAAGTTAAAGGTTTTACTGCTCTGCATTTTTGAACCCCTCTACTGACTGTTATCTTCTCAGAGTAATGGCAATACTATACAGCCTCTACCCTCCAAAGAAAAGAGATAGAGGTATATCAATGACCTATGCTGTTAACCAAAGTGAAGGTAATCACAAGACACCAGTCTTCACACACTAATTTTTGCAAATAATGTGTAAGTAACAAGAATAATTCCATCAATTTTAACTTTTGCTTAGTGAAAGTTACCTTGCATTTCTTGATATGGACTTAGAAGGACGAATAAATAGATTTCTATTAGCCCCTTCTCTTTTCAGTATAAGGGAAAGCATAGTATTGGTTTGGTCTTTTAATCTCAAGTTTTAATTATATAATTTATATTTATTATGTACATAATATGCTATAATTTAGCCTCATGAATATATAGTTTCAAACACATTTATTGTGTATTATTTTCATGTCTGTTGAGTTCAAATTAAACTTTCTATGGAAAGCTGTGGCACTTTCAGAACACTTCAGAGGCTTTCTCTTGAAAGAATTGACAAAAGATAATGAAAAGAGAAGGGTGCTGAACCATGGGTATACTATAATCTTATTTGTGTAAAAAAGTGGAAGGGTATATCCTCGTAAATACAGGGTCTGGCAGACGTAAGGCCTGCTTGAGTGTGGTTGGTAGGGTAATAGTATGAGTGTAATAATTAATAGTTTTAATTTGATTATTTCATCTAAAATGTCATACAGTGTGCTTAGGTGTGATATTGTTATGTTACAGAATTACATGCTTATGATTTTGTAATAAAAAAGGGGGGGCTGTTATTTGTGCTGGACCCTGTATTTGAGTATGTATATGAGTCAGGGATAGGAGGATTACTTTTTTTCACTATGGATATATTTTAATCTTTCAGAAATACCCCCAAAAAACCCAAAAAAACCTGCAATAAAGAAGTATGACACTTCAAGGTATCTGTCCCAAAACCAAGATTAAGACTCTTCTACAGGGTTAAATTTGATCAGCTTGCTTGAAGTAAAGTCTAATAGGGCTTTTTTTCTTTAAGTTGATTTAACATTGAGTTCTGTAAAGTTCCATAAAGGAAAATGCTGGGGATAAGAAAAATGCCAGTTTTAAATTTATATTGCTACACATGCTAACTAAAAACTGGAGTACTAAAATTTATTTTCTTCCTTAGGTCAGTCAGTTGATTCAACGTATTGACTTTTATCCCTAAATTGCAACCTTGGACTACATATACCATCAGTTTCCAGTCAGCTGCCAAATGCTTGTGGGGTGTGGGCAGGGGAGGACAGGAATAGAAATTTCAAATGACTGCAAAACTCACCCTTCTTTTAGAACAGTCTAAAAGGCTTATTTCCCTCCTGGTAAGCCAGGGGCAAAGGTATGCCTTATGATTAGCTACCCCATAAAAACACATTCTACTTGTAGAGTAAGGTAGTATATATAAATACATCATTTGTCCAGAGAGGCGACTTCTCAATTCTTTGAATCTTCAAGAGCTTTCTTTAATTAATCACAGAATGTTAATTATATTAAATACCAAATCACTGTTTCTTGAAATACTTTCTTCATTTGGCTTTCAGTGAAGCTACACTTATTTCTTCTTACTAGCTATTCTCGGTCTGTCACCCACTCAGCAATGCCTGTGTGACCTTGAACAAATAAATTAACCTCTCTAGGCCTCACATGTGTAAGACATTTTTAGCATAGTCATCGCTCACTAAATAGTTACTATGTATTGTTCGTTGTTATTAACTACCACAAAGGCTCTGCTCTGCAAGTCGGCGCTTGCCCGGCCTTAGGCGAACCCACCACACCCCCTAAGAGGGCGAGCAGCGTCGGGAACGCTGTCGAAAGTAATTGAGCAACGCTTTTCACGCCCAGAGCCGGGTTGACAATCCGGGTGGAGTTCTCGCGCGGTTCAGCAGCCGACAGCGCGAAGAGAAGGCAGGCGCTTACAATCCAGGCAAGGGACCGCCTCCTCCAGGGAAGCGAACCCGGTAACGACGCCCAGCCACTTCCGGCTTGGCTCATCTTCCCTTTCATCCTCTAACTGCACTTTCGGTAAAATCATGGAGTCTAGTATTTCACTCTGGAACCTCTATATTTTCTTCATTTCCTCCTCTTTATGGCTCAAGTTGTAGATAAAAGTTAATCTTGGAGTTACTAAAAACATACCTGGCTACAAAAAGGAGCAAGTGAGCGGACGTGGCGAAAGTGCCTGACGTAAGCACCTCCGCCCTTTCCTCGCCGGCCGGAAGTTGCGGGACTGAATGGGTCTCAGAGCCGGTGACTCCATCTGCTCTCTTTCCACCTGAGGCTTAGCAGCCGCATGTCGCGTCAGCCTCTGGGCCACCAGGTCCATGTGGAGGCTCCCAGGCGCCCGGGCCGCACTTCGTGGGGTCCGCGCGGCCGTGAAGCGGCACAGTCGCGCCGAGACGGCAACTGAGAGGGCGGCGGGCGCGATGGAGCGGGCTGTAGTGCGGTGTGTGCCCTCCGAACCTAAACTAAGCTTGTCGTTCGCGCTGGCCGACGGCAGCCACAAAAACATGCAGCGCGACCAAAGTGAGCCCCTAGGTCGAGCCCTAAGCCGGATCGCCACCAACGCCCTCAAAGGCCACGCTAAAGCGACCGCAGCCAAGAAGAGCAGGAAGAACCGGCCAAACGCAAGCAGCGGCGTGGCCTGTTCCGGGACTGGGCCCGAGCCGGCTGCGGCCTGCGAGCCCGTGGTGAAGTTGTACTACCGTGAGGAGGCAGTGGCTGAAGACGTGCTCAATGTGGACGCCTGGCAGGACGGCGCTGTGCTGCAGATCGGCGATGTCAAGTACAAGGTGGAGCGCAACCCGCCCGCCTTCACCGAGCTGCAGTTGCCACGCTACATCATGGCCGGCTTCCCGGTTTGTCCCAAGCTCAGCCTTGAATTTGGGGATTCCGCCGGCTCCCTCTTCCGCTGGTACAGGGAAGCCAAACCCGGATCGGCAGAGCCGGAGGACGGGGGTCCCTCGTCGTTGTCTCCCTCCTCTCCCTCTCCTAGTTGGACGGAAACAGGTGTGGACGAGCGCGTCTACACCCCATCCAATGCAGACATCGGGCTACGGCTCAAGCTTCATTGTACCCCAGGCAATGGGCAGCGCTTCGGGCCAAGCCGGGAGTTGGAAAGTGTGTGTCCAGTGGAGGCTGGTCCTGGCACTTGCACCTTTGATCACCGGCATCTCTATACTAAGAAGGTGACGGACGACGCTCTCATCCGCACTGTCTCCTACAACATACTCGCTGACACCTACGCCCAGACTGAGTTTTCGCGGACAGTTCTATATCCCTACTGTGCCCCTTACGCCCTAGAGCTCGACTACCGTCAGAACCTTATCCAGAAGGAACTCACCGGGTACAACGCAGACCTCATTTGTTTGCAGGAGGTTGACCGCAACGTGTTTACGGACAGTCTGGTGCCGGCCCTCGAGGCCTTTGGGCTGGAAGGCGTGTTTCGAATCAAGCAGCAGGAAGGCCTGGCTACTTTTTACCGAAAGTCCAAGTTCAGCCTCCTTAGCCAGCATGACATTTCTTTCCATGAAGCCCTGGAGTCCGACCCACTTCACAAAGAACTGCTGGAGAAATTAGTTTTGTACCCGTCGGCACAGGAGAGGGTGCTCCAGAGATCTTCTGTCCTTCAGGTAAAGTAGCTTCAACCAGTCTCTTTACATACTTGTCCATTTTTAGGGCCCTGGAAAGGGAATGGGAGTGGGGCTGCTTATAATTGAGATGAAACCATCCAGATTTTACTGAAAGGTGTTCTTGTATCTTCAACACAAAGGTTAGCCTTCATTCATTCATTTAGCAGGTACCCAATGAGCTGTTATTCTACCCATTTTATAAGTGGGGAGATGGACAAATTTACTTACCGAAGTTCACACAAGTGTGGAGCCAGGATTCTTACCGTTAGTTATATATTCCATTATTGCTGGGTAGGGTATTAACTAACTACTGCCTAGCTTAAGCTATCTTAGTTTTGTTTTTTATTTAATTTATTTTTAGAGAGAGGAGGCGGGGGGGGGGGGGGGGGGGGCCGCAGGGGGACGTCCATTTGCTGTTCCACTTGTTTGTGCATTCACTGGTGGTTTATTGTATGTGCCCTGACCTGGGATCGGCAGCCTTGGTGAATTGGGATGATGCTCTAACCAACTGAGCTACCCGATCAGGGCAAGCTATCTTAGTTCCTTAAAAGCATTTATTTTGTGTTTGTCCAGAGTTTTTAGGTAATTGGTTTTGCCATTTTTTTTCAGCACCTACTGTGTTTCATGAACTTCCATGTAAGCTCATTTAATTGAATCCACACCACTGTCCCCCTTGAGGGGGGATAATTGTCTCTCTCTTTTTTTTTTCCTTTAAACCACTGATGAAGTTGGTGTAGGAAGAAAATCTCTTTCCAGATCACGTTGCTGTAAATGGTAGAGTGGGTATTCAGATCTAGGTCTGCCTCACTCCAAAGCCTGCACTATTTCCAACCTTGGTTTTGTCATCTAAAATATATTTTTTTTATGCTCCTGCATATATTGGGCTGTTACTAAAACATGTTACTCTTTGTCCTATTTATACAGTAGTCCCCCTTAGACATTGTTTCTGTTTCCTGCACTCTGAAAATACTAAATTAAAATTTTCAGAAGTAAACAATTCATACATTTTATTAATAAATTGCCTGCTGTTCTAAGTAGCATGATGAAGTCTCATGCCCTCCTGTACCATCCAGTTCAGGACGTGAATCATCCCCCTTTGCCTAGCATATCCATGCAGTATAGGCTACCTGTCCATTAGTCACTTGGTAGCCGTCTTGGGCGTCAGATGGGTTGTCACAGCGTCACAGTGCTTGTGTTCATGTAACCCTTATAGTAGACTAACGCTGAGTCACAATGCCTCCATCTTCACATCACTTCATGTCCTCGCATAGGTTGAGTACAATACGGTATTTTGGGGGAGAGAGATGTCACATTCACATTACTTTTATTACAGTATATGCAGTGTTACAATTGTTCTGTTTTATTATTGTTAATCTCTTACTTTGCCTAATTTATAAAATAAACTTTATCATAGGTATATACATATAGGAGAAAACATAGTGTATACAAGGTCTGTCCAGAAAGTATCCAGACATGTAATATGAAAAGTAGAGACATTTATTGAAGATACAAGAAACATTGTACATAGGACAGTGATACCTCAGTCCCCTTCGAAGTAGGCACTTTGGCACCTCACACAGTTCTCCTAATCGCCATCAGCTGCCCCAATATATTTTCCAGAATCTCATGGACAGTCTGAAATCTCTTCACTTTCAAAGTTGATTTTAGTTTTGGGAAAAGCCAGAAGTCACAGGGTGCCAAATCTGGGCTGTAGAGGGGCTGAGTCACCTGGGTGATTTAATGGTTCACCAAATAACTCTAAATGAGATGTGATACATGAGCAGGTGTGTTGTGATGAAGCTGCCAATCACCAATTTCCCATAGCTGCGGCCTTCTGAATCATCCCAATAGTTTCTGTGGAGGAATGTTCAAGCTTAATGCAAAATTTGATGCAGATTCATTGCTCTACTCAGTCATTTTGAATATGATGGCCACACAGTACACATGCTCACTCAGTGGCGTTTGTGGCCCCCACTGACCAGTACAGTGAAGTTGACATTGTTCATGCATGTGCATTCCAGTCCACTCTCATTAGCTGCTAGGTTACATCGATGTCATACAAACTGTTCCTATTATATTAACAGTGCTAGGCTTTTTCTGGACAGACGTTGTATATAGAGTTAGGTTTCAGGCATCCACTGAGGATCTTAGAACATATCCCCCATGAATAAGGGGGCACTACTGTATTCAAAAACTTTTAACAAAAGTTAAATTTCATAATTATGATCATACTTCATCAGTATGGGAAGGATATAGAATAAAGTGCTACTCCATATAGTCTTAGGTAAAAAAAATTGAGAAGATTGGCAGATAGCAACTGATGTCTTGTCACTTTCTGTATGTTTTTAGATTTCTGTTCTTCAGTCTGCAAAGGACTCTTCTAAAAAGATATGTGTCGCAAATACCCATCTCTACTGGCATCCCAAAGGTAGGTTTTATTGGTTTTTCACAGGCAACTTTAACATGGTAACTTAAGGTCAGTAAAGCTGTTTTACACAAATATATTTTTTCTTTTAGTTTTATTGAGATATAATTGACATACAGCATTACACAATTTAAGGTGTACAGCAAAATGACTTACACACATTGCAAAACTATTACCACAACAAGCTTAGGTAACAAAAAAAAGATGGTTTTATTTTTTGTGATAAGAGTTTTCAGGATTTACTCTCTTAGCAACTTTCAAATATACCAAACATACAGCAGTTGTTAACTATACTGTTCGTGTTGTATTTATCTTATAACTGGAAGTTTGTGCTTTTGGACCACTTTCATCTAATCTCCCCACGCACACATACACAAAAATATACATCTTCAGTGTCAGCCAGATGCTGTAGTTCGTGAGTTTTTTTCTTTTTTAACTTAAAAGCAACTTTAAAAAGTACTTACATTAATGTTTTTTTATATTCATAGGTGGGTACATTCGTCTCATTCAAATGGCAGTAGCCTTGGCTCACATTAGACATGTCTCTTGTGATTTGTATCCTGGCATACCGGTTATATTTTGTGGAGACTTTAATAGTACCCCATCTACAGGAATGTATCATTTTGTCATCAATGGCAACATTCCAGAGGATCATGAAGACTGGGCTTCCAATGGGGAAGAGGAACGATGCAACATGTCTCTTACCCATTTCCTGAAACTGAAAAGTGCTTGTGGTGAACCTGCTTACACAAACTATGTTGGTGGCTTTCATGGATGTCTGGATTACATTTTCATTGACTTAAATGCTTTAGAGGTTGAACAGGTGATTCCACTACCTAGTCACGAAGAAGTTACCACCCACCAGGCCTTACCTAGTGTTTCCCATCCCTCCGATCACATAGCACTTGTATGTGATTTAAAATGGAAGTAGATTTGTGTTTATTGGAATTTAAGTGTGCTTTAGTAAGGGAAATTAAATATGAATCAAAGTCTATGTATGACCTTCAAAGAGGAAAACTAGACACTAACATCGTAGTTTTTACCCTACTGGATATGTTCTTCATTACATGACTATTCATAATCTTTGCATAATAGAGTTTCTGTACCCTTTTTTGCCTACACTTGAAGGAAAAACAATATATTTATGACTGGCAGGGAACATTGAGTTATTGTGCACATTTTATAAGTACTTTTTTTTAGTTTAGTAATTAAGAATTTTGTAAAAAACCATTTGAATGATGCTGTAATTTTTCTATCATAACACACTTAAAATTGAATCATGTTTGTATAATTAGGGGTAAAATGCATACAAATTATGGTGAGAGGCCCAAGTTCTGATACATGGAAGGAATAGCATTAGTGTTTACCTCTACCTCAATTTGGTTAGCAATTTAATATGACTTCAGAGCTTTAACAGAAGATTAAAATATACTGTCACTGATTGCCATTGCTTCTCATCTTTCATTTTTCAATAAACATTTTCTTTCTCATTGCAGCTCATCTTAACTTATAGGATGCAGGCACAATTTGGTATTCAGGATGAATAGCAACAAAGTTAACTTGATCCCTTTGTCTTTACTCTTGCCCATGAAGAATGTTCATAAATTAATATGGAATTTGACCATGTGATATTAGAAAATACGGCATAGTGCATTATGAGAAACTCTATCAATGTGGGCTTTAAATCTGAGCTAGATGTTCTTTTAAAATTGGTTTATAAATAGGGGAGTAGTGGGGCTTTTGAGCATCTCAGAAATTATAGGCTTCAGCATTATAGTTTGAGTTACAGGGAAACATTGTATATATAATTTATATACTGTAATTTTTTTAATATAAAGCCAATTATTTTAAAATTAGAAATTAGTTATACTGATTAGTGTCTAGCCTACAGTAATAACCAAGCTTTTCTAACTCACTTATAACCATACCTAATTTGTAATGCTTTAGCTGTTGCTTTTTTTGATGTTCAGGAAAACTAATGTTATCCCATTTCTGTTTTTAATTTCTATCTTGGATAATAAAAGGCCACCCCTTCAATAAGAGCTCTGATTTTCCACAGTTGTGAGAGCCTTTCTTCCATTCTTTCACCTCTATATCCAACACCATGAGAACTTAACTCTTTTGATAAACTAGCCTGTAGTTGCATATTCTGCTCACTATCCAGTGTACTGTTAACTTTTAGTTTAGTAAGTTTGAGAATGAGAGGGTTTTACATGCACTTCAGATTGAACCTTGAAGTACTTAAAAGTGCCTGAGGGTAACATTAAGGTGGTAGTTTCTTGGGATCTTCTTTAGAAAAAACTAAATGAAAAATTGATATTACCAAATTGTGCTTTCCTAACTAACATTTTTTAGAGCATTTTAACAACAGTTTATAAATATGTAAATATTAAAGCCAGAATTTGATTCTTTTGCAAAAATATTTTTCTTTTTAAAATTTTGGTCTGCTTTCAAATAAACATGTTGACAAGGCTCTTAGAAAAACTTGAGAGGAAACAAAAAGCTAACCAAAAAGTTGAGAAACGCTTTGAAAGAAAAAAATTGTAACATAACATATTCATACCTATGAGAAAAACATACAGGTCCTATTTTAATAGCATGGCTAGCTAAATTGAATTCTGGTCAGAAAAACTCTGAACACTTATCAAAAATTCCACGTATGGAATCTTTAATTGCTTTTATTTACTGACTAAACTGTGATCAGATTGTATACAAGCATTTCAGGATATCTGGTAATAGGATATTATGAAGTGCCACATACTCTGGTTAAATCTTCAATATACAGATATGCTAATATGATGGGAGTCCAAAAGCAGGGAACACTAAGAAAGCTGAATAAATAGCATACCAAAATTTCCTTGTAATCAAGTCAGAATAAAGCATCATTCAGAAATGTTTGTGTTTAAAGCCATCTTTGTGACTTAATATTTCAGTTACTTTTGGGTTTTTAGTACATTTAATTTTCATAAAATATGGAAAGTCTAGCAACTCTATGGTGAGCCACATTTTAAGATGTCATTAGTTCTTGCTGTAGGAATTAACATTCTAAAATTTTATGTTGATTAGTGACTAAGGATTTATAGAACACATCCTGTTCATTGAACTTTTGCACAGTTGCCACTAGACGTGTCTACACTGGTAGTTCATAATTCATTAGCAAACATCATTTCTGGCTATAATGTGATGTTCTTTAAAATTCTGAATACTAACATCAGTTGTTTCAAATTTCCAAGAATTTCACTGGATGATGACTTCTGAGAGAATTAAGGCCTTATTATCCTCAGAATATGATGGTTTCAGTCTAGAGGTAGTAGATCTCTGAGGAACATAATACAAGGGAGAGAGAGTCCAAAGAAGACTACTGTGGGAAGATCTTCCTGGTGGAAACAGGCACCTTTAGATCTCATTCTCCAGTTATAAAATACAGGCAGAGGTTCCCTACAAACTTGAGACAAAACCCAAAACCTATATATAACGGTAAAAAGTTTGCACTACTAGTTTATCACAACACCCACATGACAACTGAATAGGGGAAATCTTTCCTCTAAAAAACATTTTGAGTTGATGCTGATTTTCATAATTCAAAAACATTTTGTTTTGAATTTTTTTAATATTTTGCTCAATATAGTACTAGAAGGAAATGCTATCTAGATTTCATTTTGGGAGAGGAAGCAACTTTAAGAGCTTTGACTTGTGAGTAATACTACAATTCATAAAATGGTCCACTTTATGAGGAAGTCCATGCTTTTAACTTTCTGGAAGTATTAGAGTTGTATTTCAGTGATTTTTGTAGCACTAAGTTCTGAGACTACAGTACCAAAGCATTTTTTTCACTGAAGTGAAATGCACATAAAACTAACCATTTTAAAGTGTGATTCCATTGCATTTAGTACATTCATGGCATGCAACCATGATCTCTAGTTCAAAAACATTTTCATCACCTCAAAGGAAACTCCTTATCCATTAAGCAGCCTCTCCTCCATCCCCTCCCCTCCAGCCCTTGGCAACTACTAATCTGCTTTGTGCCTCAGTGGATTTTCCTATTCTGGATATTTCATATAAATGGAATCATGCAATATGTGACCTTTTGTGTCTGGTTTCTTCCATTTAGCACAGTGTTTTTAAGGCTCAATGTTGTATCAATATTTCATTCCTTTGTGTGACTGAATAATACTGCATTGTATGGTCGTACTATATTTTGTTTATCCAAATGGATATCTGGATTGTTTCCATCTTTTGGTTATTGTGAATAAGGCTGCTATGAACATTTGTGTACAAGTGTTGCTTGGACATGTTTTCAATTCTTTCAGTCATATCCATAAAAGTGATTGCTGGGCCATGTGGTAACTGTGTTTAACTTTTTGAGAAACTGCCAAAATGTTTCCCACGGTGGCCACACCAGTTTACATTTCCTACAAGCAATGTATGAGTTTCAGTATCTCCATATCCTCACCGACTTATTTTATATTTTTTTAAATTTTAGCTATTGAAGTGGATATGGAGTGGTATTTTTACCAATGCATCTTAAAATTTAGTCCAATCAATTATGTTGCACTCATGAACTAGATTATTCACAATGGAATATACAGCCTTTTTTTTTTTTTCTAGAGAGCTCATCTTCAGCAATTCCTACTTATTTTTACAAGTTTCTGTCAAGTTAGAAAAGTCAGTCTCATTGCTTATTTTGAAAAGATTTGGGAAGAAAAACCAGTACAAAAAAAAAGGCTCTGGAATGTAAATAAACTAGAAAGAAGAGAAACCTAAGATAACAAAGAAAAGAAAAAGAAAGGAAGGAAGAAAGAAAAGAAAGATCATTTTAAAAATGTGGATCTACTTCATGGATTTCAGAGAATGAATTTGAATTTGCTTACTAGTGTTGGCTTTTAAATACTTTAGCCATGTTCCAGTATTAACCACCACTTTTAAAATCCCAATGTATGTACAGAGTAGCAGCAGATAGCAAGACTACCTAAATACTAATTCCTGAGAAAACTGAGATGGCTGTAGCTAAATCTTACCAAGTTATAATCATAAAAAAAAGAAGATTAAACTCTGATTGTTAGATATCATACATTTTGAAAAGAAACCCTAAATTCAAGATAAACTTTAATTTTATAAATTGGCCATCTTCACAGGGTGTTGAATCATATTGAAGCCAGGTGCTAAAATTAGCATTCTACGTATAAATGATAATCTAAATTGTAGACCTTAAAAATATTAAATCTTTTAATTCAGTTGGCTGCCACCCTCAATATAACTAGAATTAACAGCGGGGTTCAGAATTCTGCTGACATATAGATTGTCAAAATCTATGTCTCTATTGTCATTGTTTTACTCACAATTTTCAATTTTCTTGAGAAACTTCACTGAAAACAAATTGAATCATCTCCATCTTCTGTCCATTTTGTGTTGATTGTATGTCAAAGGGTTTATACAATGAAGTCCATTTTGCCCAGTAACCCATTTGAGTGATACTGTCCTAAGTGTTGCTGAAGTATATCTCCTTACTGTATTGAACTATCCCTAGTTTGCATTTTTGCTAATTTCATCTCATTTGTGTTCTATAATTGAAATTGGTTCAGTAGGGAATTGTTTAAGGCTTTATTTAGTTGGCTTCTTATAATGAATGACCAATATACATACTTTTCAAAATATTGCATATCCATTTTCCCTGTGGAATAGTTTGAAGGAATGGTATATCCAGAGATACAATTATTTAGAAACAAAGCTGGTCCTCAAAATGTCTGGGTGAAGTATATAGTGTTTTGGATATCAAACCAAAGATATTTCCGGAGCTCTAGAATTTTTAAGTACTGTAAGTAATGTAATTGTAATAACTTTTTTTTTTTTAATTACATACCTTAAGAAATCCAGCTTTTTGCATCCTGGCTTGTGTCCTTTTTCTTCTAAATGAAAGAATCCCATGATGCTTTGATACTTTGATCCAAAATTGATGTTTATTTTTTGTCTTATGGGCTTTTTGTTACTGCATGTCAACTGAATAGATAAGGACTGACCCCCAAAATAACCCCATACTCATTAGCAGTTACTCCCCGTTTCCCCTTCCCCTCAACTCCTGGGGACCACTTGCCTTTTTGTCTATGCATTTGCCTATACCAGGCATTTCATATAAATGCAGTCATACAATTATGTAATGTTTTTGTGACTGGCTTCTTTCACTTACTATGTTTTTAAGGTTCTTCCATACTTTGGTTTGTATTATTACTTTTTTCTTTTTTATAATGAATAATATTCCATTGTATGGACATACCACATTTTATTTATCAGTTGATAGATATTTGGATTGTGTCCCTTTTTTTGCTTTTATGAATAATCTTGTACATTTGTGAACAAGTTTTTGAGTGATCATATGTCTTTATTTCTCTTGGACATATATTTAAGAGTAGAATTGCTGGACAATATGGAAAGTGTTTAACTTTTTGAAGAACTACCACACTGTTATTAGCCAAAGCATTTCCACCAGCAATGTATGAGGGTTCCAATGTCGCCAACACTTATCTTTTGATTACAGCTATCCTAGTGTGAAGTAACACTTCATTGTGATTTTGATTTGCATTTCCCTGATAGCTAATGATGTTCAGCATCTTTTTATGTGCTTATTGGCCATTTGTATATCTTTGGAGCCTTTTTAAAAACTGAGTTGTCTTTTAGTGTTTAGTAACCCCCTCCCCCTTTTAAATCATCATCCCTCATCTCTTTAGGGCTCTCCAAGGGGCAAAGCTTGTTCAGTCTGTAATACATCCCTAACTCAACCCATCCTAAAAAAAAAAAAAAAAAAGGCAAAAGCCTGCCACCAAAATACTGACCAGTTCTTGAGATCTATCTCCCTGCCTGCAGATGGCAGAGCTAATAGATCCCATGACTCCCACTAAGTACCTAGATGCCCAATATTTCATACCATGAGAACAATGTAGAAATCCCTAGCAAGCTCAGGAAGGCACCTGACCCAACTCTCCTTTAAAACACAAAGGACCTTGCAGGCGTATACTTAATAATACAGCTGCCTTAATTATTCTTTACCTGAGTCCAGATTGTTCCTTTTGCTTTTGATTTTTCACAGTGTTTGTTACTAGAATATATCCATTTAAGTATTTTATGTGGTTTACGAAAATAAGGTAAAGGGATAGTTGTCAAAAAGCAGTAATAAACAAAAACAGCCAAGTAATCTTTCAGTAATGGTAGCTCCTTTAAGTTAGGCAGCTGAATAACTTGTCAAAATATGCATACTTGAAAAAATTCTATCAGGAATGTATTTGTGCTTAAATGACTCGGGAGTAAATTTGACAGCCAACTCCTAAGCCAATTTGATGTTTATATTAATACAACCTGTAAAGTAAAATATTTATATGATCTTAATGAGATTAAAAACATAAAGCTAGTATTTCATTCCTATTATTTTCATAAAAATAAGTAATTATAAACGTTTGAGAAGAGTGCTGATTCTTGGAAAAGGTAAACTGCTGGTAGTAGATTATTTCTAATCATTGTCTCAGAATTCAGCTTCTGACTCTGGAGCTGGTTGATTTTTTTCCCCTATAACTCAGCAGTCCCCAAACTTCTTCGCACCAGGGACTGGTGTTTTTTGGAAGGGGTTGGGGAATGGAGGCAGGCAGGAGGCGGAGCTAAGGTGAGGTTTTGCTCAGGAGGCGGAGCTCAAGCGAGCTTCCCTCTTGGCCAGGTAACTGAACGGCGGCCCAGGAGTTGAGGACCCCTGCTATAACTGATCTTCAGGTAATGTTCTTGCAGATTTACCAAACATTTGCTCTTTATTACTCAGTCTAAGTTTTTATATTAATTCTGCCAGTCGGTAACTAATATTTACATTAAAGAAATCTTGAACCATTACAACAGAAAGCATAAGCACTTGATTCCAATGACAAGTAAGAAGTCGCTTTCCCCTCTGACCAAGAACCAGAAATTCCACATTCAAGAAAGTTTGCTCCAGGGCTTTGGTTTCTAGTCTGGCATGTAACAAGCTTAGAAGTAGCCACTCTGAGCTAACAAGAAGTAAAAAACTCAACAATCTGAAAAAATCAACTATTCTTAGGTCCAAGAGAAATGTCACAGGACAGACAAACCAGGGCTCCCCAAATTGGAGAAACCAACAGGTGAATACAGAGTCATAAATTAAAGGAACAGAAACTGATGTGGGAACCAGTGCCAGGTAGGGAAACCCAAACTGTAATTGAGGAATTGCTGGAGGCTCAGTGTGGACAACTTAAAGTTAAAAACTCCAGGGGAATACAGTCATGGCTGAGAGGGGGCATACTTCTGTGAGTTTTACCACCTGGATTCCTGCCAGCTTCTCATAGCGCATATTGGAGAAAAATCCCCTCATTCTTCCAGCAGGGGGAGAGGGAAAGGAACCATTTTCAAAAATGCCAGGGCATCCTCTTTTTAACAAGTTCTGCCCTCATGAGAAACTAACCAGACCCTAATTTACAGGGGTTTTATCAGAACCTAAGGATATACTCAACTTCAGCCTACTCTAGCTCTCCTGTCCCACCTAAAGAAGAGAAAAAAGTACTGAAAAACACATGTGAAATTCACAGTCCAGAGACTAAGACCTAATCGAATTATAGAATGCTTTCTCTATCTCCACTCCTTACCCTGACATTACTAGAGCCCTATTTACAGCAGTTCTCTTTACTCAGTAGTAAATCATGTCCAGAGATCAAAAACTTACAATACACACTAAAAGGCAAAAAAGTTTGATGAGAGAGCAAGCATCAGAACCAGACTCATATGGTGGGGATGATGGAATTACCAGATCAGGGGTTTAAAACAATTATACTGATGTTAAGAGCTCTAAAGGACAAACAATATATAAGAACAAATAGGCAATGTTAGCAGAGGTGGAAATTCTAACAAAAAATAAATGCTAGAGATAAACATCATTACAAATGAAGAATGCCTTTGGTGGGCTTAGTAATAGATTGGATATGGCTAAGGAAACAATCTTTGTGCTGAGATGCTCTCTCTGAGATCTCTGAGATCGAGTCTATTTCAGTAGAAACCTCCAAAACTAAAAAGCAAAGAGGAAAAATAAACAAAACTCAAACTAAATTATCCAAGGACTGTGGAATAACTACAAAGGGTGTAACATATGTAATAGGAATACCAGAAGAAGAAGAGGAACACAATATTTGAAACAAAAATGACCAAGAATTTCAAGAATGTCAGGAAGCAAACCATACATCAAAAAATAAATAAGACCAAGTAGGAAAAATACCAAAAAACCTACACCTATGCATACCTTTTTCAAACTGAAGCAAATCAAAGGAAAAATTACTGAAAGAAACCAAAGGGAAACAAAAAACACTTTACTCATACAGCGAAGAGTTACATTTGGCTTCTCAGAAACCATGCTGCCAAAAGATAAATGGAATGAAATCTCTTAAAAAGGGCAGGGTGGGGATAGGAGACCTTCACCAAACTACAATTCTGTAATCTGAAATTTTGTCTTTCAAATGTGAAGGAGAAATAAAGACTCACAAACAAAAAAGGAGGAAATTTGTTGCCAGTAGACCTGTCCTTGCAAGAAATGTTAAAGTAATTTCTTTAGAAAGAAGGGAAATGATGCGTCAGAAACTTGGATCTACCTTTTCTTATTCCTAATTGATCTAACATATGAGTTTGTTCAAAAGAGTAACAGCAATACTGTATTTAATTATGTATGCTTATATATGTGAAGTAAGTGACCACAATGATATGAGGAACTGGAAGAAAGAATTAGGATTATTTTGTTATTATTAAGGTACCTTAATAATAGAAGAATTAGGGTTATTTTATTATTATTAAGGTACCTTAATAATAGGTACAGGTACCTTAAAGATATTGTAGGTATGGTTCCAACCCCCTACAATAAAACAAGTATTTCAATAAAACAAGCTGTAATCTTTTTGCTGGTGGAGTGTCTTCCTTTAATTTGTAAAAAAACACATCTGTGAAGTGCAATAACACAAAG